TTGGTGCGTGCAAGGATTGTCGCATATGGACTGGTTGTAACAGGTCTTCACCCTTCCTCCCTCCCAACAACAATGCAGCGCAAGCCACTGTCCTGCTACTTGCGACTATGCTTCTCATCCTTATTACGCGAAACAGAACGCTACGTCTACAGACGCTGCCTGTACTTAGAAGGCGTATGCTTCGTTGGAAAGAGAGCATTAAAATGTATCTTAAAGTAAAGTCATATAGCATTATAGGTTGGAGTCATGTGGCTCAGGCAAAGCGCAAAAATTACTTTGGCGTGACAGAGTAGACTGCTTTAAAAAGGATCTTAAATAGACGAGTGTATCGTGTTAAGGGATGGACTGGATTCGACAGGCCCTGGATATGGGCAGTAGTTCGATATCATGTGAGGTCCTGAGGTTTCGTAAAATGTGAGCTACTTCGATGTTTCCAGTGAGGACTCTGCTTCAAGAAATTTATTATTAATTTAATTACAGCTTACATTTTCACCGAAATCAAGTTTCATTTATTATGCCATAATTGTCCTCATCCTCAGGATTTTAACTGGATACTTTTAATTGAAAGTTATCAGATTGATACAGGCTTATTTCTTCCTGTGTGTTTTGATAAAAATAAATTGTAAACGAAAAATATTTTCGTCTCCTTCGATGGGGGTATGAATGAGACATCAAATTATTGAGGTTTAATTAATCCACCCATTTTTAGAATCTGTCATTACTACTCTTCCTAGACTCCGCTGTTAGAATCTCAGTCCAGCGTATATCTCTACCTGAATTGACATTTTTGGGTTTAAATTTAATTCTAATTCGTATTTGATTCTTCTTATTCGAATGTCCTCATAATAAATGTGCCAGTTAACTGAATTTGAATTCAATAATCAATAACACAAAACTGAACTCGTCAACATTAATGGTCCTCTATAAATCAACGACGTGACAGGAGCAGCTTCATGAGCTGCGCAGTCGCAGTGTAACTTCGTTTCGTAGTCAATAGAGAACGGCGTTTGTAAATTTGAAGACTTGTTCATAAAAAGCATTTGAAACTTCTCGATGCCGGTATCTGAAGTAGAGAAACTCACGGATCTTGCCAAGTAAATATGGAAACAATCTAACTTTTGTCCCGCCTAGTCGTTCATGAGTTTATTTTGTCGCGAAGTAAGATTTAACAGAAAAGTTCGAAATTTCAATAACCCTCCTGTGTTTTAAGTCTATATAATATTCTCACAGGAGAACAAACTTCAAAATGCCGACGTGTACCCGTCACAAATTCTGATGGATCAATAAGGGTGACATTCTCGAAATCAATGAGTTTTGCATTGATGGTGTATGACAGAAAACACAAATTTATGTTGTTTTTATTTTTTTGGTAGTGGTGGGGTTGGTGTTACTGAAATTATTGTTTTCTGTAGAGTAGCGGCAGGAATCGCGTATTGTTATGCAATTTGGTTAATACACAGAGTAGGTCTACCATAACAATTAAGCTTATTTCAATCAGGTTAATGTATGACAATAAAGAGCAATAGAAAGTGAAGACAAACACTGAATATCTAATAGAATAGAATAGACAAAAGGGTGGTAGAGAATCAAGCTCTAGCGCACAAAAATAATACAGAACTGGGTGCATTTAAAATATTAGCTTGTTACAGGAATTTTCTATAATAGACACTGACGTTAAAGTGACAAAAACAAAAACTCAGTGAAAGTATGAAGCGACACGAACCTTAGAATACACTGAATAGAGGACAACAGTGACGGTCTGCTTTTTCTTGCTGCCCATGAATTCAGAGAGCCTGCAGTGTGTGACCATTAGTCACATAATCAAAAGTTAATACATTTTAAAATACTATTATGAAATTGAAACATCAGAATTCATGCCTTCTAGGCAGTTTCACTGTGTAGTCAGGTGGGTGGGCTCCGGTATCAACGTTTCGAAATAACAGACGGATTTCATATTCAGGGTAAATATCGCAGTACCAAGAAATGTCTTATGTTGATTAAGATGTGCTAGTTCAGTATGTGATTCATTTCGAGCAAGGGTAGACTCAAGGTACATGATTCTTTTTGCTTATTTTCTTTAATTTTGCTTCAGAATATGCTCTCATAAAAATCTAAGAATTCTTGCCAATTATTATTATATTCAGGGTATGTTAACGCGTCTTTATTCAACTTAAAATAGACTACACAGTACAATTTTT